GCCAGGATATGTTCCACAGACCACTGAATATATTTGCGAATAACAGTGCTGTGGCTATACAGCCTGCCTAGTCACGGCAAGGTGTTAGATGTACTAAACAAAAACAAGTACAAATACATATATAAGTACCATGATGTACAGGGGAAACACCAGCTGATACTAGTGCATGGCAGAATGGCACAGCCGTGAGGGCATATATCAGAACAGGTATTGCCCACGCCTGAATGCGTTCAAGTGCAGTAGAACGCCGGTTATCCGGATGTCAACTATCCGGATGATCGACTTTCCAGATTGCCTGGTCGGACTGGACAAAAACAAAATTAGTAGGTTTTTCGAGGTTTTTGCTGATTTCCCCACTCGGGGCACCATTCAAGAGATGCACGCGATGTATTGAGACAGGTTGGAGTCAACACGTATAACGATAGTGTCATTTTGAAGAGCTGACATGCGCCTAGTTCCTGGTGTGCTGCCGAAGAGAATGAAAAATGATGAGAACATGTGGGAATATGCATGTTTAGATAGATGTTTGACTGCTCCCATATCCGAATATTCTTCTCATCCGAACCTCCTGGAGACAGCCTGTGCCCCAAGGGGTGCGGATAATCGGCACACTACCGTATGTCACTTCAAACCGTGGCTTCAGCAACACAGGGAGGCTAGTATGTGATCACAACATCATCATCAGTTCAGATGGTCTGTATGCGGGAGCAGCTTAGCTGTGCTGGGGCGGCAATGTACTGGTAAGGTGTCGCTCTTTCCCTCTTTTTGGCACTCCATGCTTCATGCCCATAATAAAAAAAGTGAAGATTCCACTGTACTCAGTGCACGTAAGCAAATCTGCTGACTCACTGCTAGGACATCTGATTCAAACACATCTATGAAAGGAGAAGCTCCAAAAGGGGTCATGGCATGGATGTGGTGACGTACTCTTAGCCGTCCAGTTCACGGCTTTGCTCTGATCTGGAAATGTCCATGCCATTAGTAGTTTCTGCACCAAGTAATCACTCTCAACACAAGCCCGGAGAGGGGCATGTAGTATCAACAAATACAGCCCACACACATGCACCCTGGTTTGTTGTTCGTCGGCGTTGTTCTCATTTCAACAGCAATGTAACATGAAGTACATCCAGTGCAGTACAGTACAGTACACATCCAGTGGTGCATTGTCTACATAGCATTGTCCCAAAGTGCCTTTCCAGTGGCCACCACTGCACAGTCGACAGCCCCCCCACCCCCGGGCCCTGCATACACACACATGCATGTGAATACATACTCGTACATACACGGTCAAACCTCGTTAGGACGAACTTCAAGGGACCGAACACAAGTTTGTTTGTCTTATCGGGAGTTCTTCTTATCCAGATCTGACAAAAAAATTGATATGCATATCATATGGATTGTATTTATGTGAAGGTGCATGCTGTGGCAAATGTAAAACATTTTTTTCATAACATAACCCAGCAACAGGTAACTACAATGTGTAAGGTATTCATGACAGCATTACATCCGCCTTGTAACATGTTTTGTCACTATAAGAAGCCTCGACTATCGGGAAAAACTACAGCCAGCGTACCCACGGGGACGAAAGTTCGTACCACACGCTGATTTTGTTCTAATCATGCTTGAAATTAGTTCGTCTTCATGAAAGTTCGCCGTACAGAGTTCGCCGTAAACGAATAATTTTGACTTGATATGATGTCTGGCCAACCATAGGGTTGGCTCTAGTTCATACTTAGGGAAAGTTCGCCTTATCAGTGTTCGCCCTAACGAAGTTTGACTGTACTGTATGCCGTACACTCTCCCAAAACTATGTAAGTTACGTCTCGGTCTGGCTTGTGGCGCTGCATGCATACAAACTACTCTACAAATTAACTAGTGCTGAGTCGGGTAGCATTTTCTCCGGGTTTCGGGTTCGGGTACTTTTCCACGGGTAGTACGGGTATCCGATCGTGTAATGTTTCCGTGGTAACACCACAATGCACCCCTTCCCGTACACACTGGGTAGACATGCAGAGTATTACAAAAATTTTGTACACGTGCATTGTAGACTACATGTCATTATGACGTCATCTGCGACTTCAGGTTTTCAGGTACTACAATTCTGTACCCGACTACCCGAGGTCCTCACCCGGAGTCACGGGTAGCACTGATACCCGGCTACCCGTGCTGCTGCATACCCCTAAAATAATAATTAACATTCCTGATATGCCATCCAAGCAACACTGTATTCTGAGCCGGTTTCACACCTGTCTGCATAGTGTGTGCTAAATGTTACCGTGCATGTAATTGTAATAGAGAGGTTAAGCTGCACGTTATTTTTGACGCGACGGAAAGTTCCACTCGCGTTATTTGGCTCGCACGTTGGAAACATGTGAGAGAGCCACCTCTCACTTCGAAATTTGGAGTTCCACGCTGATGACCCATTTAATGTGCAATTGCATGTCACATCAAAAAAATGTACACAGCTTTAATAACCTCTCTAATAATGCTTAGTACCTGATTGCTCCCGATGTCTGCTGTTTTAGAATCATCCATGGAAGATAAAGAACCATGCTTTGGGGAAGAATCCTGGTGGTGACGGAGAGATGTGAAGTGGAGACTCAAGTCATACCGTCACAACAACATCACAAAGAAGCCAGCTGGTCCTACCAATGTTGTTCTGAAGTAAGTGATACATTCACTGGTACTAGTAGTCTGGTATGCACTCAAAGTACCAAATGTCCTGCCTTTGAAACAAGTATCTCAATCATTGTCTTTTGTATTTAAATGCCGTTTACTCCAGGCCCACGGGTACACACACGTGCATGTGCACACACATATTCATGCGCACAAACATGCTAATGCTCCTACGCATACGCCTGCATGTACAACGACGTACCCATACGGACGCATTCATAAGCCATTGACATTCTGGGGTTGGGGTTGCCATGACTTATCGTTGAGCGAGAGAGCTTGAAAGCTCAGTGCCGTGGCTATCCTGTTTTTGCCTAGATTACCATGTATGTTGTTCAAACTGATAGAGACGTCTTTGCAATACAAAAAGATGTCCCCCATAATCGTGTTGCAAAGTCATTTCTATCAGTTTGAATAACGCGCATGATAACGTTAAAGGGGAAGTTAAGGCAAAAATTAAAATTTCACCAGTTGTAGTCTTCGGGGTGCTGAGTCGAATGGTCTTGGTCCAAGAAGGCTGAGACGCTCCCTTCCTACTTGAATCCCAATCGAACTCGCGCACTTCCACCGAAACTGGGTGACTGCGCCCTACTAGATGGGGATTTGTATGCAAACTGTCACTAAAAGCGCCATTTCGTTCTTATAAAAGCACGGATGACCGCGATTGGCCCATATGTTGTAGTCTTTTGGACGCTGAGTCGACTGGTTTTGGTCGAAAAGACTGCGATGCAGCGTTCCTCCTTTATTCCCAATCGAACATGGTTGAACAAGTGGTCACGTGCTCCTGGGTGCCCAAATCACCTGGTCACCACGCCAGCAGGCGACAACTTTCACACCAAGGTTCAACTCGAGTGACAGGACTGCACCCAAAAAAGGTCCAACAGGCTAGTAAGTTTTACCCTGCAGGCACGGTGACCAGGTGACTGGTGTACGCAGGAGCACGTGACCGCTTGTTCAACCATGTTCGATTGGGAATAAAGGAGGAACGCTGCATCGCAGCCTTTTCGGACCAAAACCAGTCGACTCAGCGAGTTCGATTGGGATTCAAGTAGGAAGGGAGCGTCTCAGCTTTCTCGGACCAAGACCATTCGACTCAGCACCCCGAAGACTACAACTGGTGAAATTCTAATTTTTGCCTTACCTTCCCCTTTAATCTAGGCCAAAACAGGATAGCGACAGCACTGAGCTTTCAACTTTCAAGCTCTCTCGTTTCACGTTATGGTGTTAGATTGGATTGGAGCCTGTGGGCACTTGAAAACCAAAAAAAGACTCTTAATCCCAGGCAGGCCCAGACATGCACATTCCACCAAGTGGTCATTTCACGTTATGGTCCTAATTTTGTTTCTTTTCTTTTTTCCACACATAACAATGCATTCGAATCCGCACTATCGCCCTGCATGCACTCCTCCATACACTTCTCATACAAATACATTCTAGCAAAAGTTGATCTGAGCTCAACTATTTCACGTACGGGAAATGAAGTATGAATCGGCCTTTACGTTACGATCCTGCTGTTGAGAGCCCTATTTCAATATGTGGCCAGCTGTCTTTTACGGTACGGTACGAGACATATACGTGACAGTGCCAGGCACATCACATGATTCGTGCCGGCCCTATGGAACACACATACACATTCAAGTGCTGTGGAGCCTGGCTAGCACCAGACACTACTAAAGTAACGTCTTTTGCGTAGCTTCAGGAATATGCTCAACGCAGTTAGTAATCTATAAAATAGTATGTGATGATAGGCTGGTTACACTGTGACGACGCGAGAGAAAACAGTTGCGCTATGATATCATCACATCCAATTGTCAGCGATTCACACTGCCCACCAGGGCAGACGCACAAATTGCCCACTGAGAGCTAGCCCGCAGCTGTCCACCTTGGGCCAATCACATGAGCGGCCACAGAGGCCAACATCCAGCCCATTGTGGGCTGAGTGATCCTGCCAACCGTGGGCCGCTAGCATACTCTCACTGCCCACTAAGGGCGCACAAATGTCCAACGCGGCCAGCAACCTGCCCGAGGAGGGCGTATGAACGGCTGCCGAGGCCAGCAACCTGCCCACCGAGGGCTGAAGCAAACTTCCCCACAAGGGATAAAGTGTACAGCTCTCCGAGGGCTGAATCATACTGCCTATTCAGCCAATGAACAGCTCCCAAGGACAACAACCTGCCAGCCAAAGGCTAAAGCATATTACCCACTGTGGCCGGTCGCCTACTGCCAAGTGAGGGCAAACAAACGACCACCGAGGCCAAGAACTCGCCCCGCTTAGGGCTCACACAGCTGCCTGGCATGAGGCGTCACACTACACACACATATACAAGTACAGCATGAGTACATGTATAACTATGTAGAATGTTTGTCAAGTACTTACATGTACATGAATAAAGGATTTGACCCGGTTCGGGGATCAGGCCGTGTCTCGGAAAATGAATAGGCGACGACAGAAAGAAAACAGGGCAGCATATGACCCTGGAAATCAACCGGCAACTCAACGGGCAATATAGCCTAGCAAATAGCTTGGATTTGATTGCAGGGAAAATGCAACAGCAAACTCGGAATTCTTAGAACATCAACTACCAACTTCAGTATGATCACGTGCATAGACTGAGGAGACAAGTAAAATATTAGTTCAAAACGCTCAAGTACTCGCACGAGTGTACCGTGCCGATGAGTTCAAAACTATGTACACTATCATTCCACTGTGCCTGGGGAGCAATGTGCAGCACAGAACATGCAACAAAGCCAGCGTACAAAGAGCCCGCTTGAATCCGGCAAAACCACACGGAGCTGACATCTCGATAACCAGCATCCTGGTGCTTGTGTCCACTGCCTTCTACCTGTCAACACAGCTATTCCGTGTATTCTGCCTCACTGCAACAAGACAAAAGTCGTATAGGGAAGCACACAAATTCAAATCAATCAAAGCAATCGTCTTCATCCCCAATCTGATGGATACCACGGCTCTTCCTGAGATGTGCACAGAGGCGCTGCTGTTTGTAGAGGAGCAGCAGCAAGATCTGAATGAATTCAGTCCCCCCCCCCCCCCCCACTGTGAGGTACATTGTAGTTACCGGTATCCAGTTTGTGCTACAGGGCTGAGGGTGGTGTACATTTGCAGGTCACAGTTTTGTTTACGTTCATTACGAGTGCGAAGGCTGTTACAGACGGGTGTCTCAGTTTCTTCATTCATTCTGATGAAACCTGGTCAAGTGACTATCTTTGGGTTTCAGCAGCCTCCTGACCTGTTACACCACTATTATTCTTAGACACCAAATCTTAGTCAACTGTGCATGGATGAACGGCCTGGTTTGAATTAGAGACCACCTGCAGTGTTGGTCCAGGCTTCATCTGTATGCGCATCATACAGTGTTGCTCACTGCACAGTCCCTTCAACCATGAATGGGGTACTGCAGTTACGTTTGGAAAGTATAGACCTGTGGTTTCTAAAAACTGTTAGGCCAGCAGCATCTGTACCACATTAAGCCTGTGACCACTTTGGGCCTGAAATTTCTGAAATAAATCGGGCTTTTCACTCACAGACAGTTCTGTACATGTGGTAAGAGGTCTACCAGAACAATCACAATCCACGTAATCAACGCATGCGCGACACTCAGTTGACAACCACTCACACACACCAACGGAAGCAGGGATTCTCATCCTCTGACAATGTGTACTCTTGCATGCACTACATACCATATACACTGTTTGTCATACATCACACCATGCTCACGCGTACACTGGACCATGTGAGATATCAGGCATCAGACCAAACCAGGTGAGAACCACATATGACAATGTGTCCAAATGATAAGCGAGCTGAACTTTCATAACACATGTGTACCACACAACATGAAGTTTTCAAGCTCTACGCACTGAAGATGGATACTTACAGGAGAGCTGTGCGGATCAGGTTGCGATTCTCCGGAGCACTGTCCTCCAACTGTGCACACAACTCATCAATGGTCAGCTCTTGTTTCTTCTTAATCAGATAGAGGATGATACAGAATACGCTAGTGACTCCATGTCCACTGCCAGTGATCGTTCTTTGGTTCATTTCATGGAACTGATCAAGGACATTTCGATAGTTATTCTTCAGATTCTTGTCCACCAGTTTGACTGCAACCTTGCCCAGCTTTCCTGCAGCAATCAACGATAAAATACTCGACCCGTCATCAATGCTCCACAGACTCGGTCCTAAAAGATAATTATTTCTACACGGTCAGTGGTGACAGTGAGGACACCCTTCGACCCCTCCCCTCCAGGAAATGTTCCACATCCTTAGTAAACCTCACTCCAAGGAACACTTGCTCACGATGCAAATGCAAGAAAAAGTGTTGAGTGGGGAGTCCATAACTTGTGCCCCCCCCCCCCCCCCCCGGAATAGGATCATTGACTCTTGATTTTTACTGCTCGTTGCGCCAGAGGCTGAAATATTGGTTTTTACTTGTTCTTTCCAATATGCCCTGTTGAACCTGGTTCATGCATGCCCTATTTGAAGTCAGTCTCTCTGAACCCGTCTGGTAGAGGTCAAGCACAAACAAACTACGGATGAACAAACCTCTTGCATTGTCATCCAGCAATGGTTCAAGAGCAGCTGTGAAGTCCTCCCAATCATCAATGTTTCCAAGATGCTTGCAGCTGCAGAGGTTGACCATAGAGGGATGGAACAATACGTAAAGTAGAGACGAGAAACGACAGGGAGAGGTGGTAGTATAGAGGGGAAGAGAAACAACAGGGAGAGGTGGTAGTATAGAGGGGAAGAGAAACAACAGGGAGAGGAGGTAGTATGGAGGGGAAAAGAAACAACAGGGAGAGGTGGTAGTATGGAGGGGAAGAGAAAACACGGAAGAACACTGAAGAGAATGTGAAAGCAATTATCCCAGGGCAATCTTCTCCCAACTATATTTACTAAAACAAAAGAAGTTATGCAGCACGGTATTGGATGTTTCTACAGGGTAAAAACTGTGTGAGTGTTTGTGTGTGTGTGTGTGTGTGTGTGTGTGTGTGTGTGTGTGTGTGTGTGTGTGTGTGTGTGTGTGCGTGTGCGTGTGCGTGTGTGTGTGTGTGCTGGCCAGAAGAAAGCCACTTCAATCAGCTGTATGGTGTAGACCAGGCTAAAATCGGTGGCTGTCAATTCATCAGCCTTGCAACCTGTTGAATGGTGTAATCCCAGCACAAGTTGCCATGTTTAACATAGAAGTTTTGGGTGCTTCTACAGTGTAAAAACTGTATGTGTGTGTGGTGTGTGTGTGCACGCGCGCGCGCACGTGTCCGTACACATTTCTCTCCTCAAGACTAAGTGCACGACTTATACACAGTAGACAGTCAAAGGCGATTCACACGATGCGCATTCTCACGTTTGAGAGCCTGTTACCATGGAAATTTGCCTGCAAACAGCCAGATTTGCCTGCAAGAATCCAAATATGCATGCGAGCTCTTTGCTCGTAAACACTCTTTATCCAGGAACCAAAAACTCCTGAAAGTTACACGCAGCGGTGAAAGCGCGGGGAAGCACATGTGGCAAATTCTCTTTTGTAAACTTCACGCCTAGACAATGGTACTTTAGTACACATCGTGTACGACTCCCTGGTCGCACATCGAAATCCTCACCCATCCCCATTGTCACCAACGTCCTTGCAGGTACTACTTGTGCAAACTCCGAATTGCCCAATGTGGATCAAACGCTTGGGTTTGTCTATCATACTGGTCAGATCCTGTGCAGATTCTCCTGTCATGTGAATCGCCTTTAACTACATGTACTTGCACTGTGTGAGTATTGTACTTGCACTACCTGTCCTGTTCTGTCGAGCCACTGCCACAAGGGTCACGTTGGCCCCAGAGGGACAACGGAGAGAGAACAGGAGAACGCCGTCCCACGGCGTCCGGGACACAAACAACGAGAGGTCGCCAGGATTCAGGTCACCTACGACTGTCACCACGAGACTTACGTATGACCGGGGGAGAACCTGAGCAGCGGTGTCTATTCCTGCCCTGGACCGAACGGAAGCAGCGGCCGCAGGACGCACAGTGCACGCCACAATACGGCTCCACTGCGGCTGGGGACCGAGCCACACATTTGTAACGGGCAAAGCCACCACGGCTCAAGAACCAACGGCCGCAGCGATCACACGGACATGCTCCGCGCTGTTCATTCACCGGCTTTGCGCGCTCTGCAGTGCACTTGTGCCTGGCACGATCCTGGGGGCGCGAGAAAGACCTCTTGCAGACAGAGCAGTTGACAGCAGCAGCAGCCGCATCCCTAAGGATGCTGTGCGAAGAAGATGCATCAGCGTCTTTCGAGGTGTATGCTGACCTCCATCCGGCGCGAGACTCCCGTGCAGTTGCATACCAGCTACCATATACATCACAGGACTTGAGGTCGGACACTGCACAGTCCTTCCAGTGGCGCCGAGGACCAGGGGCCGGGCGACAAGCAAGCATGGTACCGAAAAGGACCTACCGCGGCATCCTCTCCGACTCCATACGGACCACACTGCCCAACCACTCTAACCGGCGGTTCGCAACCTTCATATTGAGAGGCTTGGGATCACCCCACAGTTCCAACATTTGTACGTTGGAAATGTGATCCCCCCAGCACTGTGAACGTGATACGCCAAGAATCGACCTCACACATCTCATGTGAAACACTTGCACTACACAAACATATGCATATGCACTACAATACTCAACCAGAGTAAACTCACCCGATAGTGGAACGGGATGCACTTGAAGTACTGCAAAACTGGACCGGCATCCACACTGGGCTGTGACTCCAGAGGACATTGTGGAACTTCTCCATCCACCAGCTCTGCAAAGTGATGGCATGATGTCCGTGGACAGGACTTCTTCTTATGACGTTGACAAGGACGTTGGTTGATGGGACACTTGCACCGCACTGCTCGGCTAGTACTGACATGCCGAAGACTGAATTTCTTCAGATCTTCTAGCTGCTCCTCCACATACAGCAGTGCCTCCGTACACATCTCAGGAAGATCAGCTGGATGAGCTTCTGATCCCAACCTTCCAATGGTAGAGATAGACGAGTCTTCAGCAGATATGGAGATTCGAATGCCGTGGTTGAAGTACTCCAGAACAAGCCAATAGTGTCCATAACATCTCAGCCGAGCAGCAGACTGGTAGAGAAGTGGCTCATGACGTGGTCGATACTTCTGCATGCACCTTACCACGGCACACCAGAACAGTGTCTGTGGCAAGTAGTTGCAACTTCCTGTGTACAGGTAGATGGTTGGTGCAGACTCCTCCAATAGCAAAGCAGCGCTGTCTTCAGGCATCCGGCTTACAAGGGCTGGGACGTAGAACTTGCGTGACTCTTCCTCTCGGTCAGGGATCTTCATACTGGTCTTTGTGTTGTACATGAGACCAGATTGCTCCATCAGCTCATACAGATAGTCACGTTGCTCTTCTGTCTTGGTGTACATTGCAGTTTGCTTGCTGTGTTGTTGCCAGCGGTGAATAATCAGACGCTCCAGCAAGACTCCCTTGCTTGTCAGCAGATCGTAGAGCTTGCGAAGACGTTTGCCCTGCTCAATCTTCGGCTCGGGACAAAAGAGTAGTGATGCGATTCTCAGCAGCCATTCCACATCGATGACTTTGGATGACAGGATTCGGTTCTCTGGGTAGTAGAGAATATGGCCAAGGTGATGTTGGTACTTCAACATGGCCTCCACATCAACAGACTGAGAGTGACTGTTCCCAGCATCACCACCACACACCGTGCTAGCAAGGCGGTAGATTTGCTCAATTGTTAGCCATGGGCATTTGAATTTCTTTGCTACTTCCTTTGTACCAATGGTGAATGGCAGCCAGCGAATGGGGATGGGCTGTTTGAACTGCGGTTCCAATTTCTCAATGAAATCCTGTCGTAGACGAATGATGGTTTCATCTGGATCCCTGCTGCCAGCAACAGTGTTGTCAACAAACACTACATCATCAAGATTGAAACCATACGCTCTTTCCTCAGCATTGGTGCAGATGTATTTCTTCATCTTGTCAAGCGATTGCTGGCGAGTTTTGCGCGGAAGCTTGTCGATGTGCGTGCCAATAGCGTAAACTGGTACGTCTGGGTCATCACCGATAACATGATGAATTGTGTTCAACCAGCTTTCCATGATGTCAAAGTTGGTGGAACCTTGACTGTTGTCTAGCCGGTACTCTTCACCATCTCTGCAAAGTGTTGGCTCGGCTACTTTTTCCATCGGCTTGGAGGCATCGAAGACGACTGCATAAGCACAGCGCCTTGAAGACAGAACCATATGTTGAAGTGCTGAGAACAAGCGCTGTCCTGCAAAGTCCCATATGTCCAAGAACACCAGTTCACGCAAGTCCTTGATGTTGTACTCACTGACGTCGGTATACTTGAGATCAGCAATGAACTGATCAACCCGCATTGCTGCATATGATAACTCCTCTTCAAGCCTCTTTGGATCGGGTGACGAATATGGTGATTCGGGTGTTGGACAGCTGCTCTCTGCTTCATGTATTTCAAGTGCCTTTTCTCTGACGTCAGTGGTGTTGGATCTGACGTTGTGGCTTGAATAGTGGAAACGTCTCCAGTAGCAGAAACAGGGATAGATGTATCATTTCCAATGGCAACTGTCGTTGTTTCCGGAGTCGCGTAAGCTTTAGCATCTGGAGATGTATCCGCAATCACACCAGCTTCATTAGGAATATTGGTAGTTGAAGCAACTTTCGCCTTATCCACACTTGGAGAATCGGCTGTGATGGCTGTAGCTGCCTTCACATTGCCACCAGCAGTTGCATCATGCCTTGTGTCGTTAGTTACCATTCCTGTACACCCGTTATCCTCAACCAAATGAACATCTGTTGTACTGCTACTTGGTGCGGATGGCTGAATGGTTATTTGCTGCAGGCCATCCTCCGCCGCTGGGCTCTCTATCATAGGCAAGGCACTTTGTTCAGTGACTGCATGTGGCCGGGCTAGGCGCTCTTCAGTTGTCTTTCCTTCTACTGCTTTGTTGAGTGATATTAGCAACATTAGCAGATGTTGCATTTTCTGATCGGCTTCCTTGCGCCAAACAAATGTGCCGCCTCTCTGTCCAATAGTGCAGACAGCTGTTTGTAGCTCCACACCGATGGTGCTGTCGCTTTTCTTTTCGAATGGCTCATCCACAAGTGATCTCTCCACGCTGCTTTTGCCTGAACGGCCAGGCCCGCATAGAAGAAGCCTCGCATGAGGGATTATTTGCTGTCCTTCTGACAAAGCCAGTTGATAAGCCTGTTCATCCTCTGCGTTCCAACCTAGGCCAACATTGTATTAAAACAGAACAAGGTGGGAACAACCCAATCAGCGACAACAACACACCTCAGTTCATCAGCCGCTCAACATTTATTGTCATCACCATGACACGGTTGTGAGAAGGTGCTTGCTGTCGACGAGGTTGGTGATGTCCCGTCTCGGCCATGGTTACAGTTCATTCAGAAAAAAATGAACTTCTAGCTTTTGGCCATAAATGGGTCAAACGTTGAGTTTTTTTAGAACTTTTTTCTGCAATCCCATATGGAATCCTCTTCCAATTATGTTTCTGAAGTTTTTTTGTCCAAAAAGCAAGCCATAGCAAGAATAGGATTTCGGCCAGGTTTTGCCCCAAAAGCACTGAATTGGGAAAAACCATCAAAATCCAGGCCGTTTGACCCCGCCTGCAACAGTGCATTCTGCGGTTCGAACCCCAGTTCAGGCACCCTTTTTGGACCCTTTTTCAAATTTCAAAGTTCGCAGCACTGCACTGTGTACGATGAAATCACGAAAAATCGCCAAATACGGGAGCTCGCCAGAGCCAGGACCCATCTTTTTATGAATGGACTGTAGGCCTTCACCACCTCAGAACACCCCGCTGTCAACCAATCACCATTGTTATCTATCAAACAAGGGTTACATAATGCTATATACAGTGCGAGTACATGCGTGTAGCTAGCTGACCGCCCTAGCTCTGGGCGGACTCGGGTGCGCAAGTCGCATCAAGGACCTGGGTGCATGGATTAGTGGTCACGGCTGAACTATGGTTGGGGAAATTTAGGGGCTTTGTTCGAACCCCCCCCCCCCTGATACAGTCAGGAAGTTGGCTAACACCCTCTCTCTTTGTATTGGCCGGTGTTCTCACTGTGCTATGAGATGCTGTAATAAATAAATAAATAAGTGCAACAACTAGGCACAAACCCGACAGGGTATGAGGACTCGTACTGAGACATTCGACGACTTGAAACCTAGCTCCAACACATCGCCGAAGCGCTAAACCAACAGCCTTCCAACTCGGAAGATTCTCGGTCAAGGAGAGACCGAAGAGGGGAAGATAAGCGTGGCAAGAATGAGTACTTGCCAAGTTCCACAGAAACAAGGTCTCTCCTTAACCTAGAAGTTAGAACCTTCCGAGTTGGAAGGCTGTTGGTAAGCGCTTCGGAGATGTGTTGTAGCTAGGTGTCAGGTTATCGAATTTCTCACTCAGTACTCTGTCAGTTGTGCGCCTAGTTGTTGCGCTTCCTGACCTTTCTACATTTTGTTATTGGCTCAACATCCGATTTTCAAATTTTATGAATGTGATCAATACTGGAAACCGAAACTCACCTGCAATTCCGCTTTTCTTTGTTTCCTTCTTTGAAGTCGTTGTATTCTTCTGTCCAGTCACACTACCTGAAATGGCATTGGAATATAGACGTATTCGACAATGCATGTATGGAGTAAAGTTCATTTCAAAAGCATTGCATTGGTATTCACAATCTGCAGATGCTCTGAATTAAAAATTCTTTAATGCGATTATTGTAATGTTGAAAAAAAATTCAACATCACAATATAGAATTTTTAATGCAACGCATGCGCAGATTGTGAATAGCAATTGAATAGAGCGGTTGTCAGTAGACAAACCCCCTATTCTTATCTCTCTTTTTTTGGTACAGAGGCAATAGTCTTAGGTTCTGCGAAAGTGCTCAATACCTGATTCAGGCAGCGCGGTGTACACAAAGGCACACAATGAAAACCTTGGCAAATTCCGCTGTGACTCATTTTTTGTTAGTATTCTTACTCCTTCAATCCCAAACAACCAGAGCCCTGAATCAGCTGATGCACAGAAACTAAACCCGCCAAGTCCGTTTCAAGCGCGCTCGGTAAACGGCACATGCTAGATGCATGGCATACATGTAACACAATGTACTACTATCATGAATGTCTGGGGTGGCCAATGAATGCATGTGTTAGTTCCTGGCTAAACGCAGTCCCCTCGCACTCGTAGAACACAGGGTTTTATAGTATTGAATATGAAAGAAGTAACTTAGACAAGAGAGTAGACAAGAGTGAGAAGACTGGAGAACCACTGAAGGATGCGCTCTTCTGTACTTGATGGGATCTCATTGCTGTGGTTAAGGAGCGGGAAATACGAATAGTGAGTATTGTACTTCGAAGTACTGTCTTAGGATAAAATACACTTGTTACAATTTTTCACTGCAACCGTGACAACCTATTTCAGACTTGTACACTCTGCTACGGATGCTTACTGAGAGCCTTAGCGCTGGCATGTTAGCTAGGTAGGATTATGATGTACATGTATGCATGCCCAGGTTTTCTACCCAGAGCAGGTAACGGGAATCATGTAAGTGTGACATCCTGAGAGCTCAGGTCACCGTGCACATTCCATCTACAAAATTGATGCTGTAACCTGCAGAGTATGAACGACTGTCAACTAAGCAACTTTTCTCGTCAACCCACCATCCAACGTCAGGCAGGATGGCAACAGTGCCCGCGCACAATTCTAAAGCTGCACATACAATTTTTTTTGTTAGACCACCGAATATCCCACTAGTAACGAAGCTTTGACTGAACCTCCGGCACATGTATATCCATTTCATTCCGAGAAAAAGCATAGTCTAATAGCTGGCACTGATGCTCTAATTCGGTTGTGTACATGGGTACCAACACTGGTACTAACCTGATGGAAGCTGAGAATTGACACAGACCGCAATGTAGAGGTCACGTGTAGAGTGTGTTCCAATACCGGTAAGGCGGGCAGTATCTCTGAAATGCTGCGGAATGAAGTCGGCTAGTTCTGAACTCCAAGTAATCAGATTCATGAACAGTGCACACTGTGCATGGCCACTAGATAACACATCGTCTACCATTGCCTTTATTGCTGATCTTGCTGGAAAGCAATCATCCGATGTACACTCTGCTATTGCTGATGATACTGTTGCCATTGTCCTAGCATTAATTCCATTGTATGATTGCAGCATTGATACCTCAATCATTAATGTAAATGGCGATGCTTTTGACAGAGAATGGCAAATGATGTCCACATTGTTCTTGAGTGCTTCGCGAAAGAACTCTGCACAGGAAGGTTACGAATGCATAACATTGAAAATGAAAAATCTCTTCGTTAAAATCCTGACCCACAAATAATTAGCTGGGAGCAGTACTCTAAGACAGATGGTCAGTGTCCAGATGTGATACTTTGTACAGGCTATTAGGCAAAGAGTACGGGTTTCCAAGAACAGCTAAGGATATCGCAATCCCAAACTTGGATTTACAATCCAACTGCCTTTGTCCTACTTTGTGGGCTCAGCATAACTATGCAATTATTCCCGTAGCTATGCAAAAGACGTTACTTCAGTAACGTCTGGCGCTAGCCAGGGTCCACACAGCTTTAATTCCGTGTGTTTGTGTGTTTGTGCCGTTGGAATGCCTGGCGCTATCCCGTACCTGTCCCGTACCTTACCATCAAAGACAGCTGGCCGCAATATTCAAATAGGGCTTTCAAATGCAAGATCATAACATGAAGCAACTTGGAAGAATGAGTATGTATGCGGAGTGTATCGGGGGAATGCATGCAGGGCGATAGTGCGGGTTCGAATCCCAGGTTATGTCTTGAAAAAAAAAGAGAAATGAAAAATTTATAACATCCCTATGCTTTTTTGCCTAGGTCATCAAGGTGGTAGATGGTGTCGTATTACCCTTGAATGCAAAGAGAAAGTTTATTTCTTTCGCTCAGGGCACTACGCTATGCTTTTTTTGTCTAGCTCATCATGCATGTTATTTGTACAGATGGAAACTTTTTGCAATACAATGATGTAGCCGATCAGTTCGTTGTGGTACGGTTGGGCATTGAAGCTAATATGGTTGACGTAAAACACTATAGCCAATCAATGGAAAAAAACATTTCAAACCAGGTCTAATAACATACATGATGAGCTAGGCAAAAAAGCATAGCGTAGGGCCCTGAGCTTCCAAGCTCTCTCGTCAGCCATTAAGCTGTGGCGATTGAAACTATTTAAGCCATGGACACTAGTCACAAGAGTGTAAGAGTCTCTCAACTGCTAACCTACTCAACACACCTATCGGATTGTCCATCCGGTGAAGCAAAAAGAGAAGGGAAAAAGAATCCCGGCATTTTGTTGGTCATAGATCTCACAGTGTACATGTAAGTCTACCCACTGTTGAAATTTGTAATTCTGCAAATGATGAGATAAGTATAACAACTGTCGAAGAGCCTTACCACAAGGAGCAGTATCTTGTTTTGCCGCCTCTAA